AATAGAGCACAGTGTATTTCGACATGATTATAGTTTGTGATCAAGACAACCATTGATTTGAACTATTCTAACATATCCACTGCATTTTGTTCTTTTCGGTTTCTTGATCAATCGTCAAACATTCGATAAAGTCTTATAATTGAGTATCTCTCGCTCCATGTCAGACAGTCACATGTCCAAACAAGTAGAAGATGTAAGAAAGAGGATTGTCGATACAATGTCTTTTGCTCATTTAGATATGTTGATTAGTTTTGTGCTTGTTCTGTTCACTGTTTCATCCACAGCTTGGTGTCAAGATGAGTTAGGTGAGATCAGAACCTCTCTGAAAACGATCTTTCTTATTTCATGCTTATTAGTGCGGCGATGTGCTCGGGCGGCTTCCTCTTGTCGTCTTACTCCACCATCGCTCGAAGGACCTTACTATTGGAATACAACTGTGCGTCGTAACATCACGTGAGTTGCTTCCGCGTCTTTTATTTTTTGCTGTCTACATTATTGACCAGGCAAGCAGTGAGGGCAAAAGTGGCATCCCGCTTCGTCTCGTATTTGCTGTCTTGGACACGACAACATGCGCGCCTATAAGCAATGCCCTCATTGATGTGTGGCACTGCGACGGTGAGGGTATCTACTCACACTTCATTGCCTCTACCCTTCAACAAAATAATACGGGAACGGATAATTCGACTTTTTTACGAGGTAGAGTAATTTTCTATTTATTCACTTTCTTCTCACTTACGTTCTTATGAGATAATAGGCCAGCAACTTACAAACATACAAGGTCTTGCAGTCTTCGATACCATTTATCCAGGTTGGTATCCTGGTCGATGCACTCACATACACGTTAAAGTACATGTCGGCGCTACTTTGACGAACATTGATGGAGCGCTCCATGCCAAAGGTGGCCATGTTTCTCATACGGGCCAACTCTATTTCAATGACACTCTTACTGATGAGGTAGCCAAGCTTTCACCTTACATGTTACAAAAGATCCAACGAACGCGAAACAATGAAGATTTTATCTATTCAGAATTGGAAGAAGAACCGATGATTGCTCCTATTACATTTTTAACGACAGACGGTCTTCAAGGACGACTCAGAAGTGAAATTACGCTCGCAATCAATCCAAATTTCATATCGCCATGAGACGGATGACCTTCACTCGAACGCTAGTTATTCTTTTTTTCTATTCAAGCAAAATAATGTCACGAGAATACATACATAATGTAGTGCTGTTAGCAGGGTGTGGGTGTGACTGTGGATGTGGTGGGTGTAGATGTGTGTGTGGGTGTAAGTGTAGGTGGGTTGGGTGTAGGTGTGGATGTGGGTGTGAGATATGGGTGTGAATATATTTTCCATCCACCTCCACACCCTAGCTCTTGCACAGACATGTACACGGCTGAGTCTAATCTTTGTGGTTATTTTTATGGAAGTTTTCTGAGATGGAGGGCCACTATGGATAAAGGTTTCAATGCCTTATCGTTAGCAAGATGTATGGGCAACAGAGGAAAACCAAAAGCTACAGACGACTTGCAATATAGGCTTTAGCTTTCATGTCACGTATTGCTTTCATTTTTCTCACTATCTGTTTCAATCCTCACTTTGGCACGTGCTTCACAATATTTGAAGCAGTTCTATGGTTTAGTTTGAGTTTTGAAATTCATTAAAGACCAAACATCTATCTGTTCGAATCACTCATGTTCTGAACTCAACTTTTAATATTTAATGTTTGCTAGTCGTATCTATATCATCCATTACTCTGGATAAAAAACATTAACATGTTGGATTATGTGCGTAATTTGATCAAATATTGTTTTTCTCAAACAATCCTTCCGTTTTGATCGCCCTCGACATTGTGGATTTATTAAAAAGAATTCAGCAAATAGGATCATACTAGCTATTAATTTGTGTGGAAGTTCATTACGTTGAAACACTATCGTCTTTTTCTGGAAAATCAATTATGTGTCTCAAAAAATTGCTTACAATGTCAATTATTATTTTATCAATTGTCCCAACTGCGTTGCCTATCAAATATTACTTAACATGTAAGAAATATTGAGATTTGATTTTTTTTTGACTATTCTATTAATATTTCACCAAAATATTTTTTTATGCGGAATAATATCGAATCAAGTTCTGATATATCGCAAAACTTGCATGTCTATTTACAGAAAAACTCTGAATTTCTCCAGTTATGACGCAGATAACGTATTTGAGCAAGTTGCTTTAGTTTTAAAGTTCTTTTTCAATGGATTTTCAAGCATTACAAATCATATTCCCTATGATTGTGCAGCTTATTCTGCTTCTTACGAATTATGTCTACATTCTTTTTTTGTATCTCTTATAGATTGGCAATGTCGATTAGGATCAAAAATTCGGACCTGCTCAGGTAACTAACTAGTGACTTTTTGTAATTTCCAATAATCACCTATTTAGGCAACCAAAGATGTGGTAATACCTCTTACTCATGCATTGATGTGCCACATGAAAAGGAAAACAGCACCATAGTAATAATAGTGGTTTTCACCATTCTCCCGATGATAATAGCTGTCGTTGCATCCGCTTATTATTTCTATGTTTATCGAAGAAGACGAACAAATGCACGGATCATTCGCGAAATGCCAGTTACCATTGCTACCAGAAATCATTCACAAGCTATGTATTATATAAGTGGTCATCCTCCCATTGTTATCAACTCTCATGTTCAAGAAGAATCTCCACCGAACTACGAACAATACGCCAACGAGACGATCGGGAAATAAACGAAAACTACGAACCATAGTATTTGTATTCAATGAGTTACTTGATTCGATAATTTAATATGATAAAAGAGCTTTTAACAAAACTGCAAAGCATACTGAAGAGAGTAGTTCGATGTAATGAGCAACAGACACGCATAAAAATTTTTAAATGGATTTTCATTAAATGGTCGTGTCAAGCAAAGTCGATTTACTCCTGCAGACGTTAGATATTCTATGTTGAGACGAGGTAGGATGCGGATGTGAGTTCTAGGCTTCCTACACCTACAACTTTCGAGTCTTCCTTGGAATGGACTAGTTTCAAAGCGTTTTCCAAAATTCCTCAACTGGTTCTCAAGTAGACTGCGACGCAGTTTCTTCATTGAAAGGGATAATTACTAAAAACAACCACATTAATATCAACTGAAATGCTGATTATTCTCTCCCAAAAACAACATTCTAAAGTACAAATAATTCCAGTAAAAAACAACATAATCTGCTCATCAATACTTTTCGAAAAGACCTATGCTATTTCTAGATATATGTAACTCAACGAGTTCTATCGAATTCAAGTCTTACAAACTCAATTCCATTGCTTCGTCATTTTTCCAACAAAGCAAATGATGCTTTCAGATACATCTCGATGTCTTTGTTGTTTACAAATTTGAGTAACTGGATTTCATTGTCTTGTCATTGAATAACAATGTAGATAAGAGATAAAGGGAACAAATGCGTCCATCTCTAGACATCCGAGCAATACATTTACACTCAAACATCATATTGTGCATATTTATTCTTGTATGTATAGACCAGTTTAATTTCAAGTGTAAGATAAAGCGACCAATACGTATAGTTGTTTATTTGTCTGTAAATGCCACTGTATTCAATCAATTCTCTTATTAGCTATTTTTATTTTCACTGTGGATCATTACATTATATAGTAATTTCTTTAGAAGTAAATGCCAATGAATATAGATGTCTATTAGTTTTGACCAAATAACTTTTAAAAAAAGCGTGATGACAATCTTAGATTTGTTACTGCTAATATGGGCAAGGAGAATATAAAGCTCGAGAACCTCGACTTGAAATTTAACTCCTGATCTTCTTCGAAAAATATAAAAGTTTCATAAAAATCAAGCCACTTTATGTTTAATTTCAAGATGTCATGCAAATATATTATTTCAAGTATAAATCTATATGTTGCTATCGATGTTTTTTCTTTTATGCTACAGAGAACGATTGAAATTGAGTAACTCTTCATTGTTTGCGCTTAAATGAAACCAATAGCTACATTACATTATTACTCAATTTCATCTACGTATGAAAAGAGACTGACTCATACACGAGTACCTTTAAAAAATTTCTCAATCTTGCTCGTGTTCTGTAGAAAGAAAAAGAAAAAACCCATGACTACATAGTTTCAAATTAATAATAGAGTAATTGCGAAATATACTACATATAAAGAGAAAATGACAACTCTTACTTTCAATTTGTTTTTGTCTTCAGTGTACGAACACATTCAGTAAGTTTTTCAATTCATTACATTTACTCGATACTCGTTAGACGAACTCATCAAGCATTCATTTTCCTATTTTTACTGTCGTCTCTAAGATGCCGCTTATCAGTTTTGTGACTATATCATTTTGTATATTTATCGCTATAAATGAAAAAATGACTTGATTTGAACTCATTTCAAATTGTTGACCGAGAGCACAGCAAGATATTAAAAGAAAATTCGAAGATTAATCATTTCTCATAAATGTACTATATAAAGTAAAAAGTCAATTTTTTTTTTCTTAGAATGTTTGGATACTGCTGAAAATAATTTACAAATCTATAACTCTTTAAAAAGTGCTATCGTGAGAATCCCATTAGAATATCTGAGAAATTTCGATAGATTTCCATAGATTTTGAAACATTCGCAAAGGCATTATCAGATATCTTACAAGTTTCTCGAGGCGACATTTAGATGCTTGTTATTTGTGTGACGATGTATTTCTATGCCAAATATATGACTGGTGTATCCTTGACTAAAATCACAGTTTATGATACATTAACCAATGGTCTCACATTCTGATTACAATTAGCAGTAAGCAATGTTATGCATTACCCAGACCCAGGCATTTTACTAATCAATTTTTATCTTTTGAGAGCATCATTAAACAGACTGTATTAATTCCTAGAATTGCAACTTGTTGACTTGTTCATAATTATTATTTTTCTTCTTCAGATTAAGCTATGAATAACAAGATCTCTAGAACAACTATGATGAATGAACAAAGTGATTTTGAAGAGGTTTTATCTTTAAAAAGTTTTTCAAGAAATCAACGTGCAGCAATTGCCGAAGACACTTTGAACAAGGTCAAAGATGGATGGTACCAACCATCTAAAGGTTCTCCGATAAGTCTTGCAGAAGACATTGCATTTTCTGTGAATAATACTGTGGTTTATACAGAATATGATCTACACAAGAGAAAGAAATTAATCTTAAATGCTGATGAAACAATGTCGACATCATTTGCAACGAATATGTCTTCGTCTTTAAAGATTGAAGTTCGTCATTGTACAACTTTACAAGCAGCTCAATCGTTAGTTGCTGAGATGGTTGAAGATTGTATTGGAGTATTAAATTTTGCATCGGCTAAAAATCCAGGAGGAGGTTTTCAAAGAGGTTCTAATGCACAAGAAGAATCACTTGCTAGATCTTCATCACTTTATCCAACACTTATTCAAAATAGAGTTTTTACTGAATATTATGATTATAATCGACATGGTAAAAGCGGTCTCTACAGTCATCGGATTATATATTCACCAAGAGTAACTATTTTCAAAGTATGAGCAATGAAATTAAATGAGACAAATTTATTTTATTTTGTTATTCTTTTTCTTTTCACAGGATGATAACGGAAATTTATTATCTTCTCCATATCATGTTGGTATGGTAACAGTTCCTGCTCCAAACGCTAGTGTTGTTCGTCAAACAGAACTAGTTAAAAGTACGATGATGGAACGTATTAGACGTTTATTGTATGTTTTCGAAGCGAACAAACACGATAGTCTTATATTAGGAGCATTTGGTTGTGGTGTTTTCAAAAACAATCCATTTGACGTAGCAGTTATGTTTCGACAGCATTTAGAATCTGATGAGTTTAAGAACTCTTTTAAACGAATCATCTTTGCAGTTTTAGATGCTGACATGTATCAAGTATTCAAGGAAGTATTCACTAATACTGATTTGAGTTATATACAACATGGAATTATGAGAACATCTCTGAATGACAATAATAACAAACAGCATTTGTATAGTAATCGAAAGCAAATGTGCAACAAAAGAGCAAAACAAAGAAGACAACGAAGCAGTATCCTTAACGACGTTTATGATAAAAACTACAACGATTATTATAATCATGAAGACAAGGATGAATAAAAGAAAATAATAAAAACGGATGAACTATGTAGCATAATTATCGATGTTACTTTTTCACTGCTCACATGTCACTGTCCATTGTACATACGTGTTGATTAACTTCAGTACAAACGAGTGAAACGCTGCTATGACTATTAAGATCATTTTTTGATTTACTGAATGTATAGAGTGTAGGATGTGGGTTAAGGAACGCTTGACTCCTACACGTATAGTCTCGTTTGAGGAAATTACAATTGACATCCTGAAGAAGTAAATTTTGAAAAAAAACGTAGAATACTTTTCAAGTACAAAAATCAAAACTAAAATTTGGTTTGTTTACTGATCTGTGCATTGAACAACAAGAATTAACTATAATCAATATGGGCATTGGTGTGGATGTAAAGGATAAGAAGAGTAACACTTACACCAACATTCCACAGTCACACCCAATGAAAGTTTTTGTAATAATATGGCAGCTCTTATACAATGACGACAAGCGATATCTTTTCATCGCATAGAAGAGCTTGTTAAGTATAGTGGTTCAATTTGAGCCAGATGATCAATTTAAGTACGTTTATCTTGAGAATAGAAGATAAATAAAGAATAGCTTTGTCTATACAATTCTGTTTATTTTGGAGAAAAACTTGATTGAATGTTGAATTGAAGCAACTGAAAAGTTGGAAATTATGCTTTAACTTGATATAAATACGTTTTTTCATTGGCAAAAAAGATCATATGGTTGTCTTCATTTTCAGTGTGTGTTACTTGTCATTATTACTCACCATATTTACACATGCATCTTGCCACCACTTTTATGTTCACATTCGTTTGAAGTTTCTTTCATTCTCAAAGTAAAGAATAGTGCAACCAATAACAGACGTAGCACAGAAACGGAGTACAAAATATTATTTTTCTTTCTTTTTATCTGTTTCACTATCAGATATATGCCACAGACAAAAGTAATCTTTAGGCAAAACTCATTACAGGTAAGCGCGAAAACGTGAATTTATTACTTAATTCTTTTTCTCGATAAGAATACAGAATAAAAGAATTTAACTATTTGTTTACATTAAATTTTAAAAAAAGCAGGCAGCGACGTAGGCAAGAGAGAGTCAGTGGGCAATTACCCATTGCATTTGGAGATTCGCCCATTGTAAATTTTTATTAGTAAGTTTTTGCCCATTGAAATTTTACTTTTTCAGAATTCTTTATTTATTTTTGACTCTTAGATAGTGACTCTATTTTTTTCATCCGTCTGAATCACGCACGCACTTTTTTCTTGTTCTTTCTATGAACAATTAAGAGAAGAAGAAGGAAAGAATCGCTTCTAGTACTTTAACCAGAGTCGCCAGATGAAAAACTTAAAACTCAGAAGTTGTTTTTTTCAACATCGGAAAAAAATCAGAGTTTTTTCTCCGACATTGGGAACTGATCAGAGAGAGTAACTTTCTGCAAACCAAGGGCTATCATGTTGATATACTTGCATAAAATGTTTCACTTTTTTTGTTTATCGACTCATATCTTATTTGCGAAAGTATTTCATACTAAAGAAAGACAACACGAACATTATATAGCTTAGAGTAAAAGATTGTAGACTGTAAGCTGAGGAGGATGTGGGTGTGAATGAATACAGAAAATGTTAGTACCCACACCCTCAGTTGAATTTTTTCAATGTAATAAGAAAGAAAAAAATCAACCAACTGAAAGGCATCCAAACAAATATCTCGCTTGACTCTACTGTTTGAGAAGAACTATTTACATAAATGACTTTTTAAACAGTCACAAAAAATGGCTAGAGGTTAGACACTGGAGATCCTCTGATCAACAATACAACCAGATGCACAAACTCTTATGAACTATCACATGGCAAAATATACTGGGAAAGTTCTTTTCGAATTTGGAGCTGAACGAGCGCAATCAATTGGTATTCTCGCTGTCGTCACTGGTGTGATAACAACTGGTGTAAGAGCTTGAGCGCAGTTATGAATATGCTGAATTAATTATAATACAGGCGTTATGGCGGAGATTGTAGAAAGCTGAGGAGAACAGTTTATGGATTTCACAGTTATTGACAGCGATTATGACGTGCGGAGGATGGGGTGTTCAATGTGCAGCATATAAATGCCTGAGTATGAGAACCGTTCGAGAAAGTATGATTCATCATTCACTTCATCTCTAGCCAAGCGAGTATTTCTCACCAATGAGATAACGGACTCACTGCACGAGATAGTAATTTGGTGTGTTCCAGTTATTTGAATTGATTTTTTGTTTTCCGTGCATGTGATATGACTCCTAGATAATGCTTACATTTACAGAAAAGCAATGGCAAACGATACCGCTGCTGCTCATATTGAAAGATGCATCAACATGTTATTCAAGAAATTGGATACATTAAACGGTCCTAAGATTCCGTATCACGCAAGGCTTAGTATCGTTGGTTTCGCTCTTCCAACAATTGTTTATTTCGTATGTAGTGCTGACTATGTTCAATCTATCACTTTAACGCTCTGTGATGTTTTGTTTCAGTGGACAAAGAGAAGGAACAACAATAATTACAAGGCCCAAAACGACAACCTATTTCGTCTAATGGTAAGTTACTACTATACTAATCATCTGTAGATCTAACATAGTATGTTTGAATAGGAAGGAAACTTAGTATTGACCTTACTGTTTGGGTGGCTAGTCCAAGAGAACATCGTCCTCAGAACCACACTCGCCGTATGAAATGGATTCAAGAGTGACTGTGCATAGGAGTGTAGGTGTCAGTATCAATCAATACAAGGCCAACAGTGACCCCAACATCCACACCAACTCGTTTCACTCATACTGACACTCACACACGTACACTCATTTTTAATATAGTAACCAAGATTTCTCAATAAAGAATAAATTAAAGCTTCAGCGAAGTTCAGACAAAAGATGGCTTGGTTTGTTACTAATATGTATGAGTTTTCATTGAGATCACCTGTAGGAAGTTCAAAACGAGAGTTACAAACAGGAATTCTCTTTGATTGTTTAGTGCTCGTCAATCTACGTGTAGGTTTGGGTGTGAGGTATGAGCCTTCCCTTCAGTAACACTCATAACTATACCACACGCCGAATATTTAGCGAAAAGACTTGTTATTGCTTTTTGCTAAAAAGGAGTTTGAAAAATAGTTTCTTTGGAGTTTTTAGGAAACTTTTCATAATAGAAATTTTTCAAAAGCACTTCGTTGCACAATATATTTGGCACACTATCTGGCGCAACCAGTATCTGTTTTCGACACAAATCTATTGACTGATGTTTCTCAAAAAAAAGTCGGTTGTACTGCTAGCTTTACCGACGTATTGATACAAAAGATTGCTGTTTGACAATTTATACTGTTTTCTATATATTTTGATGACGACTAGTAAAATAGATTATTCGCACCTATGAATCCCTTTTTCCTTCGAAATACGATTAAACCTATGTTAAAAAAGTAATTTTATTATTTTCTGAATATGTCATTTCTCTATTATGTGTGTGACAATTTCATATATAATTGAGTTAATTTCTATCTTTCAGCTCCTTTCCTTACAGCAGAATTCGATCAGCAACTGGTTTTATATGACCTAGCGTTTTCGAAAAGATCATTCTGTTTGACTAATAGATGGATACAACAGTTGTATTCGAAGTTAGTAACCATTTGTCTGATAAAGATTGGCTCATATCTCGTGAGCAGAAAGTCATAAACATAAACACCCGCCGGATTCTCTTGATTTCACCAAAATCTTCTTATGAACGAAGCGATTTTTAAGATATTGAATAAAGTTATGCTGCCATATTATGTACTAAAAAAATGTTCTTGTAAAAAAAATCAGCAAAAGAATAATTTATTATTTTTTTTTTAACATGATAATAAACTCTAAAATTCAAGATGAATCATTTGTCAAATTCAGCAAAGCAACAGGATCAATATCTACATCACCACGCCACTGAAGAAGCAAAGCATGTTCATCATCGGCCATAGTTTGAAGAATAACTGTCATACGACGATAAATAGATGGTTGTACAAATGCTCGAAGTTTTTCTAATAAATTAAATTTTTTCTTTGTACCTCCTTCCGATTGTTTTGTATTATCATATCTTTAAAAAAAAAGGTAAATTAAGAAAAAATAGACATTTGTTTTATTTTACCTTCGAATGATTCGATAACCTTGTTGAGTAAGTCTCTCAGCAATTACATTTTCTTGTTCCATCCATGGAAATTCCTTACTCTTTGATAATATATATTGATTAAGAAAAGAATCAATAACAAATGCAGTAAAAATACTAAAATAAATCGTTATGAAGAAAACAAAAAAAAAAAAAACAAAACATTACTTGAGTACCACAATTACAGCACATAGATGAAAGGCAAGAAAGAAAAGACGTGCCACTTTACTGGTTACAAGAACAAAACCAGAAGCCAATACTTAAAATTGAGAGAAAGACAAAAATATTCAAAACATAGAAAATAATTAAATTTAAATGTTCAATATCGAACTACTCAACGTTCATTTTCTTTATATTATAAACAAGTATAAATCTTGAGTGAAATGCTAATATGTCTTCAATACTTTCTCTTACCATGCCATTGATTTACTACAGTTAATGCGAAAAGAAGAATCAACGATGACAAATAATCATTAAAATTATTTCGACAATATTGAGCTCTAAACATACAAAAGATATGAAATATTTGTTTTTGATAAAACCGTCTTGATATACTTTGCAAAATCTGAACCATTAAGTCGAGTATCATTACAAAATTCAGCAGATGTAGAATTTGAATCTAAATGCACTATTTTATTTTGAAATATTTCCATTCCTTGATAAAAAAAAGAAAAGTAGTTAATTGTTGATTTTTTATTTAAAATTTTTTTGTATTATTTACCAATCATTGCAAATACATAATAAGTCATCTATATCAAATAAACGTCTTCATAAAATATAAAAAGATTTATGTTTTTTTCTTTTTTTTACTTACAAACATCACTCGAAGATAAGTTATTAATGTTGGAATAACTTTTGAAAATGTTCCAAAAATAACTTTAAATCTAATAAAATATTTCTACAATATAAAAATCAACAAATAATATTTAAATAAATTACCGTTCAACATTTCCAACAATTTTAACAAGACGTAATACTCGAATAACTAAAATAGCATCAAGAACATCTCGATTAAGACTTACTAAAATAAAGATAAACACAAAATCAAAAAAAAACATATTCTTCACCTTTTTTTTAAATTTCTATTTACATGATTTAATAATAGCTGTTAGAAGACTATAAGTTGTTGATACAAAAACAATTGTAAAATCAAATATATTCCATCGATGATGAAAATATTCTTTTACACCAATAGCATACATTTTTAATAAAGCTTCAACAATAAATAATGATAAGAAAAACCATTCTAAATCATTATAACTTGCTGCTAAACATATAGCATTACCAACAATTAATAAATTAATTATAGCTCGAAAAAGACTAAAAAGAAGATTTCAAAAAGAAATTTTAAATAAACAGATTCTTTTTTTTTTTTCCGTTTTACTCTGTATTAACAAAATCAATAATAATTCGACTTGGTTTTGAATTATAAATTGATGGACATTGTTTTTGAAGTATTGTTTGATCAGCACTTCGTTGTCTTAATTCAAAATTAAGATTCAATAAAAGTTCATTGAATTGTTTAACATCTATATGAATACAAAATATCTTTTAATTAATTATTTATAAATTCATACTTAATCCATCTTCTTTATTAGTTATATTTAATGTTTTCCAATAAGCATCAATTATATGTTCTGTTATATGAGGTTTTATTGCACGCATTAAACATGTATATGTTTCATATGATATACAACGATTTGAATTATGTTTTGTTAAACGTTCAAACATAATCATCAGTGTATCTAATTGACGTTTATGAATTAATTGTTTTTCTTCCTAGATAAATAATATATTTATATGTATAAAATATTATATTTTTTTTTTTGTTGCCTGTAAATGTTGTTTATAATTAGAAAAAATAACGGCTAAAAGTAAGTTCATAAATAAATAAAGATTGACTAATAGATAAGCCACAAAGAAGATCACATAGAGTATGCTTGAATTAAATGCTGGCATCCTATTTATATAGAAATCTTTAGTAATTACAAAAAAAAAAGGACATGAAGTTTAAATATTATTTTTTCTACAGATATGTTTTACAAATGTCTTACGAGGGAAGGTCCCCAAGTGACGGATGCCGTTCGACTCCATATTATGCCTACAAGGTAGGTCTCTAGGAAACTAAGAAAACCCTAAAAGGATTTGTGCCCATGGCCTATCGGTGAAGAGTTATGATCGTTTTACTGAATTTTGGGCATGCAGCAAGGGATTTCCAAAAAAATCGAATTCAAGAATTTCGACCTGAAAATTTGCCCATAAATAGGTCTAATAGTTATTAGAATTGCTTGAAAGTTTCAGCCAAAACGAATATTCCTTTCTCGAGATATTGAATGGTCAAGTAAACTCGGTTTTTGTGACCTGTCTGTAAAAACTGACTATTTTTTTGACCATTCAATATCTCGAGAAAGGAACATTCGTTCTGGCTGAAACTTTCAAGCAATTCTAATAACTATTAGACCTATTTATGGGCAAATTTTCAGGTCGAAATTCTTTAATTCGACTTTTTTTGGAAATCTCTTGTTGCATGCCCAAAATTCAGTAAAACGGTGATAACTCTTCACCGATAGGTCATGGGCATAAATCCTTTTAGGGTTTTCTTAGTCTTATAGAGACCTACATTGTAGGCATAATATGGAGTCAAACGGCGTCCGTCAATTGGGAACCTTCCCTCGTTAGTAACAGTATCTTTATCGTAAAAGTTTTTTTTTATTAATATCTTATTTAAATTTTATGTCTTAATCTTACATAACATCAGGATTATTTGCTGTTGTTGTAAGTACATATAAATCCCAAGCAGTATCTAAGTAATGTGTAAAATATTCACTTTTATTTGGATACATTAATTTTCTAATAATAGAAAAAGAAAATATAATTGATTTCAAAAAAACAAATATATATATATATTCTTTAAATATTTTAATTTACTTATTTTTTAAAATACCAACACCAAGTAAAGTAAATGTTAATACCGAAAATAGAAATAGAAACATCACATTACCTATATTTGGTAATGTTCGAAGAATATTTCGAATAACACGACGAATCTATTTCAAAAAAAAAAAATAAAACTATGTATACAATCAATATATCTCTTACATTTTGACCAGCTTGTAAAGCAAATGGAAAAAGAACACGAAGTGGACGTGACCATCGTACATAATAATGACCATTGAATATCAATATATAATAAATAATCATATCAATAGTTGTTAACTAAAATTAATTATACAATATATTAGAATTTTATTTTTGAAAATAAAAATAAAATTCTATTTACCAAAAAAACACCTGCAAATATATATGGAAAAACAGCTTCACGTAATAATTTTCGTTTATCTTGTAAACGCATTGATAAAATAAATGAAGCCAAAAGTATTGATAAAGCAATTATTTCAATAATTAAAGCTACCCATGCAGGAACTTCTTTAAAATAAGCTGGTCGTTCAATACATGGTAATAATAATAAAGCAACATCAGCAAGCCATACTATCCAATACCAAGCTGTTGAATAGATCACTGTATATAATCTAAAATGAAATCATTCAAAAATATATGTTTTTTTTTTTTTTTTCGTCAATTTATTTACCGTAATACTGGTTTATCGAGAGCAAAACGAATATAATGACCTGCATTGATAGCAAGAATTTCGGCTGCAGCATACTCAACATCCTGTATATATCTACTAAGTTGAATATGTTTGAAAACAAATAAATTATTATCATACTCACCGATGTCGATGGTATAGCTCGTTTGTTTTCTAATTTTTATATTAGACATAAAATGTAAATTAGTAAATAATAAATTCAACTTTTTTTTACGAAATATTTTTTTTTTGTAGAAATTTTCAAAAAAAAAACCAAAATTCTAGTTTTTCAATACTTAGACTGCTTAAATATAAATTTGTTTAGTTTATTTGAAACGGTAGAATAAAATTCATCATCTTTCGGAAAATTGATATATATATATATTAGCTAGAAAATGCCGTACAAAATTTGAAAACTTTCTCATTTTGTAGAAAATTATTTGCTCTATCATTCTATGTAATCTAAATAAAATCATACTAATCCATTCAAGGTTTTGTCAAGCAAATCGTTTTGGTTTTAACAAATCCTCATTTTTATGTTGTCATCAAAAAAAAAAAACAATTAGATTTTTAATAAAATATTATTATAAATACAAACCTGTTGTTGTCATTTGTTCGTTATCATGCGACTAACAAATGAATAGAGAAAAAAATACGAACGACAAAAATCTAAAGTCAACTTTTTTTGCTACTCTTACCAAGCTGCTATCATATTTCACACATACAGACACACACACATATTAATCTTTTTTTTACTAAAAGATAACAAAATGCATACACATATGACGCTCAATTTCCTTTCTTTATTTTTTTTTTTGTTCTGATATATATTTTTCTTTTCTATTTTTTTCTTTACAATTTGAAATTAAGATCGTTTTTTCTTGTCTTTAGTTTTGGCATTTGTAGGAGTTACTGAAATAATTCTTTCTTGTTCTGTTAAATCAATTGGTGATCGTATATGAATAAATTCATGTTGATTAGGTCGTGCAAATTGTTCATTATCATTTATTTCAATTTCATCACGAATTATTGAAAGACGTTGAAGTATAGCAGATGTTCGTTGACCACCTAATGAAAGAAGACCCGGAAGTTTTATAAAACGACAACCAAAACCAACAGCCTTAAAATAAAAATAAATAAAATTTGAAAATACTCTTTTTGTTTTTGTATTTTCATACAAGATCTGCTAAATGAACTTGTGCTACTTCTTGATGATCTCGTTCAAATAATCCCAAAGCATAACTATTAAGTTCTATTAACAAAAAAAAAGAAAGAAATCTTCTTTTTTTTGTTTTTTAATTACAAGAAAATAAATTTAATATTTACCATGTAATGTATTCATTCGTTGTATCAATTCAGTTATTGTTGGAGCACTATCTAACGATAATAAATGACAATTAATTGTATTATTATCATCATTATTATCATTTTGATAACGACGTATATCAGTTGATGTTATATAGCATTTATTTGATATTCGATCACATAAACGAGATAATGATGATTTGTCCTAAAAAATATATATATATATATATTTCCTCATAATATAATTATTGAACAAGAATAAAAAAAATAATTACAGCATATCGAAATGGATCAATTAACATAATACACCGAGAATAAGTATCAATTAAATCAACATAAACATCAACTAATTCATCAGGTGATTTTACAACACCTGTTGTTACTTCATATCTACCACGTGTCTACAATAATAATAATATTTTAAAAGTTAAAAGATAGAAAAAAAAAAAATTTTTTTTTTTTTTTACATAATCAAATGTTTCATATGGTCCCATTTGTATAGCATAATCAAACCAATGTTCATCAGTACCACATACACTATTAATAGCATTTTGAATTAAATCAAATCCTTGTTCAGGTTTATCCATTGGAAAAACAAGACATCCATCATCAGTAGAATAAGTTGATTGAAGCTAAGAATATAAAGTAAAACATTAAAACATTATGTTTTTTTGTTTTAACTTACGGTTGCTCCTTTTGCATTTGTTAATGAATCACGTAAAAATTGTAGAATATTATGCACTTTATGTATCCACTATAAGATTCAAATAAAAAAGCTGTTAGCGCAATCCCTTGCGGGATTAAAAATGTGAAACACGATGGATCTATTGTTATTAGTTAAATGGAAATCGTCTTGTTCCATTTCTTTGCGATGCATTTGTAAGCTAACCCTTTATCTAATGCTTTAGAACTGCAGTTTCTCTGTCACGGTCTGTGACGGTTCATTAGTTAATTAGATACTAATTAATTAATTAATTAAGATGTCTGTCACGGTCTGTGATGAGTCCCAGGCCTGTCTGTCAGGGACTGTGATGGCCCCCGAAGCCTGTCTGTCACGATCTGTGACGGGTCCCGGCCCTGTCTGTCACGTTCCGTGATGGCCCCCAAAGCCTGTCTGTCACGGTCTGTGACGGTTAATTAGTTAATTCAGTGGCGTAGCCAGGAATTTTTGAGTCATGGGCAATTCATTAGCCAAACTATTTTGAGTTACGGGCAGCTAAGTGCAACCGTTATGATTTCAAAAATATCTATGGGCAATAACTGTTCAAGCACTGCATAGCTCAATAAATCCATGGGCAATAACTTTCGGAGCTATGCGCAATTGCCCAATGGCCCTACCCCTGGCTACGCCACTGAATTAATTAATTAAGATGTCTGTCACGGTCTGTGGGGGGTCCAAATTTATACCCCTAAACACTTCAACATTCCTTTCAGATCGTGTTTCACAAAACAAAAAAAGAGAAAACATTAAAATCATCTACCTCTTCATTATGTATTATATGAGGTGTTGGTATAAGCATAAAATATTTAATTAATGATTGTTTACCCGGATATATTGGTCCACTTTGAAGAATAGGTATAATTGGTAATGGCATAGAAAGATTTGTAATAGATGAAAGTTGAATAAGACGAAATAAATTTGATTGTTTTATTTCAGTAGTTATTAAACAACAAGTTAATGATATACTTGTAATTAATAATTGACCAGCAAATGATGATGGTTCAGGTTCATCAGGAATAATTTCAATCGGTTGAAGATCTTTACCGGCTCTTAAAAAAAAATTAAAAAAAAAAGATTTCGAATCAAAATTCTATATAACGAACCCTTTTTTACTTGGTGTTGGAGCTACACCTGCTTTAGCTGCACCAGCACCTGTAGGTGGACGTGCATTTGTTGATATTTTAACTTGTGCAACATCAGAAGTTGGTTCACCGTTAGAATTTTCTGATTCAATTGCTGCTAATTTTGCCATTTTATCTGCATGTTTTGAACGAAAGTCTCTAGAAGAGAAAGAAAAAAAAAATTTAAGAAAAAATCAAAATATTAGAAACAAAAGCAATACACAAGAAGATTATCAATTGTTATTTGATCGAATAAATCTATACGGTTAAGAATTGTTTCTAATGATGATGAATTGACTGAAAAAAAAAACAGATACAAAAGTTTTTTTTTTTTTTTTCAGAAATTCATAAATTTTAATATATTCTAATTACCCAAGGCTTCTAATTGTTTGATTGTTAGATTATTCAATTTACCTGATAATAAATTTACTGTAATTCCATTATATCGCTATAGTAAAAAAACGAATTTTTTTTTTGTTTTTGTTAACACTAAAACATTAAATATTTATATTTGATTTTTACTTCAGTTCTATTTCTAAGTGCAATTGTAAGATCGATATGTATGGCTGGTTCATCAGCAGGACCTATTAATCGTTTTAAAGTTAAATTAATAATTTGTGGTTGTTTGCTTTGACCCAAAAAATGATTGGCCTATAAGATAATATTTTTACAATAATAAATCAGCAAAAGAAAATTTTCTTTTTTTTTTTTTTTTTTGGTAACTTACAATATAACCATTAAGATCATCTGGTTTTTCATAAACAAGATGATTGAGAACATCTTCAAGTTCTGATATAATAGAAGATGATTCAAGAAAAGATCGAGCTTTTGTACGTGGATCGTCATACATCGTTTTTTTTGTTTATTTTTTGAGATATATAATTTGAAAATTCTTTTCATTTACTTCAAACATTACCTAACAACGAACTTCAAAAATGAGAACTATTGATGTATAGAGGACGCTAAATAACTGTAACAACGTTTTGTTTTTTATAACATTGATGATAATCATTAATATCGAAGTTTTAATATTATAATTTTTTTCTAAAAATAAACTTCATACGAACAACAATTCATTTAGTTAATAACAATTTATATATAGTTCTACATGTTGGAATACAATCCTACTATAGAACTTTTTTTAATGTTAATCATATTATGAAGTGATTGAATCATATCCTTTTTGTAAATACCTCCTCCTCTACCCTTTATGTTTATGAAAATTGCGCACGAATCGCCCCTCTGTCAATGTTGAATTACGTCTTGGATAAAAAAAAATCATTTAATATTTCGTTGAGTTGTGAAATTTTTTTTTATTGACGGACTCTATTACATGGGACAAAAAACTCTAGTAAATATGCTTATCTACGCATTTTGTAAAGTATGCAATGCTTTTATGTTCTGTTTCATTTCGTTTTTTTTCATAAGAAATTATAATAAAAAACATTAACAATTTCGTCCTGTGCCGAAAAATATATCTATAACAACCAATGAATGAATTTTTAATGTCGCAAAAGTAGAAAAATATAAAACAGTATGTGTATGATCAGTTTCACTATATAAATATTCAACGAAAATCAAACATCTATGTCTCTAAAACAATGGCGTATACATGATGACATTCATATCGATACATATTCATCAATAGACTTAAATTTTGATAAATTTATAAATTCTGAAATAATTCCAACATTATATAATGATAATATATTAATATGGTTAGATAGATGTATTCATAATTATGATCAAGATGATCGATATTCATTCTATCAACTTCATTGTGTTATCAAGTCAATTTTTATTTTTACAAATGAAGAAGAATGTTTGAAGTTTATTAAAAAATTTGAAACAAATAAAAATAAATTATTTTTAATTGTATCTGGTTCAGTAGGTCAAAATTTTGTTCCAAATATTAATCATTTATCACAAATTAATTCAATTTATGTTTTTTGTGGAAGAAAAAACAGACATGAAGATTGGGTGAAAAATTATAAAAAAATTAAAGGTGTTTTTGATGATATTAAAGATCTCTGTATTAATCTTGAAAATAATACAAGAAAATTTGAACTCAATACAGTAGAAATCGAAAATTTGATAAAATTATTACCAAAAAAATCTTCATTACCTTATAAATTTGATGAAATTATACGTTTTTCAAATTCTTATTGTGATATTTATCAACCACAAGATGATATTCAAATATCAACTACATCAATTGAGATTCCATTTAGTAATGAAGAAAATTGTTCGTCGGAAAATGAAATAGAAGTCAATAATAATGTAACATCTAGTCAAACAGTTACTCCATTTATTCAATATAAACAACAGATGGAATTTTCCGATACTGGTAAAAATAAAAAAAAGATTTTCTAAAAAGAAAAAGTACAACACGGGATAAGATCGTAAATCTCATTGCTAATAGAATAGAAAGTACTTCATGAAAGAAATAAAATAAACTAGACGAAAATATACCAAATTACATATTCTATCTTTCTAATCTATTGATTGTGAGATCTACAGTAGTGTTCTTAATCTTTTTTTCTTTTTAATTTCCTATGTTTTTTAAGGTATTTGGCCAAGTTTATCTGTTATCGATAGTGAACAAAATGGAATTTTCAATCATCTTCATTCAGTTGTAGGAACAGTCAAATATTCTCAGACAATAGAAAATTGTTTACAATATGTTTGTGATAATCGTGAAGATCCACATTTAATTGTTATTTGTGATCTAACAAAAATTGAATATCTACCTATATTAATTCGTTCTCATGTACGAAACATATATATCTATTGTCCAAATAAATCTCTAAATGAATATTGTATATGGAGTGAAAGATATCCAAATATTGTTTCAATACTACAACATATGGATACTCTTACTCGTTTGATTCTTTGGGATTTATCTGCTTGTATTGTAAATATTGGAAATTATTATGATAATGAAAATCAAAAAAATTTGGCTCAAACTCGATATCGTTATGCATATCGTCTTCATATTATTATTCATGAAGATTTAAATAATCGACTACAGATGTTTGAAAGAGTTGATCAATAAAATTTGATATTTACAGGTTGAAAAAGAAGGCTAATATATTTGTATTTTTGTTTAATTATTGTTATTATTTCTGTTTGACCAATCTTGATCGTGAAGTTTCGTTCAAAGTTAATATTAACTTGTTGTATATATTTTTCTTTTTAGATTATTCTTATACGTACAAACCAACAAACAAAAAAATTAATCAAAGCACGTGTATATTCACATTAAACAAGGTAAACATCTTTTTAAACATAGAGAACATTGACAGAAAAATTAAACTTTTTTTCTTCAAAATTAGTTTAAAGAATTTTCAACAACAAAATCTAAATTAGACATCTCAACATGAATATTTTTTGTTTTTATCTTTTTGCCTTGTAATTGTGACTATTCTGTTTTATTTTTGCATCTGAATAGTATCTTGGTTTGCCCCGTTGTATCATCATAAAAAATATTGTATTCACCCTTGCTTATCGCTCTGAATTACCTTATCCGTCGAGTTGAAATCAAATATAACATACTATCTTTAGACTCTGTGGTATTCTGTACTATCCATGTTCGCCTATATCGTTATTATGTATCGTAATATGTTCTCACAACCGGAACTAAAGATTTTAGATATTAAATAAAGAAACGAGTATCAAAGAATTATTTTAGATGTGATACAAAGAAAATCTTCTAGACAGGCACTATTACTAAACTATATTTACCAGAACTAGCGAGAACCCGCGCATATTGCACGGCTGTTTTCTCCTTTAATGTATGACCTCAGACATTTAACTTTTCATCCGGTAAAATACATACAGACACTCGATATTATGTATATAGATAGGTTGCCCTACGACCTCATACTCTCATATCGCACATATTTTTATAGTCCATGCAGCCTTCGGCCTTATAGCCTTATATTCCTTGTAGACTCATCTCCCTATTGCCTTACTCCCTTCAAGGCCTATGCTTATCACAATATAAAAGCCCTCGGGGACCTATGAGTACCCCCATAGGATAGCTCTTGAGGATTTATGGGTACTCCCATAGGATAGCCCTTGAGGACCTAGGGGTACCCCCATAGGACAGTCCTTGAGGACCTATGGGTACCGCCCTAGGATAGCCCTTGAGGACCTACGGGTACCTCCACATAATAGCCCTTGGGGATCTATGGGTACCCCCATAGGATAGCCCTTGAGGACCTATAAGTCCCCATAAATAGTCCCTGGAGATCTCCCCTTATAGCCTTATGTGACCTTTGACCCTGCACAGACAGACAGACAGACACACACTGAGCATTATATATATATAGATTATGGCGAAGACAAAAAAAAACTTCATCTCTAGTTCTGTCCCATGTAGCCATTTTGGTGATATATAAATTGTAAACCGTTCCTACCTTGGCATCTTTTATTTTTTTTTTGTTACAATAATATTGATGATTGAAGAAAAATTAATTTATAACTATTTTCTTTAGTGTTTTATTTGTTGAGAAATCAATCAATGTGGACAAAGTTTTAACACATATTTTGAAAGATGATATTTATTTATAGACAAAAAAAAAAGAAAATCTTGATCAAGATCTCATTGTTCGAATTTTTTAAAAATATTTTGTTATCATTTGAAATTATAATTAAACTACACAATTTTAAACTTTTCCACGATGTGTGATCTCCTTTTGCTGTGCATTAAAAACTGATAAAAAAAAACAATTTTAAATCATTATTTCAGGTAAAAGATGACCGATCATAAAATTAAAGATGGACTCTCAATTAATTTGTGTCGATGTCGACTTCATAATTATGGTTGTACTGATTTAGTACGTTTCATTAAATTATTCTATTTTCTTTAATACATATTTATTTTTAGTTTCCATCAAATCAATTATCTAAGCATTATTTAAGTGACACACATATTAAAAGTATTATTAAATTTATTTGCGTACAACAAAATAATCATGAATATGCACTAATTGATCTTGTAATCGATCCAATAGGAACTGGCCAACTTTTATCGTCAAGAAATAATCAATCAAATAATTATTCACAATTGGTTGAACGACTAAATTTTGCTGTAAACGAGTTTCTTCAATCGTCAAATACAACAGATATTGCTTCAAATACTTTACGAAATATAAATCAAAGTAAGATTTAAAAATTTTTTTTTTCTTCTAACTGTTTACTTGTCTAGTATCTAATACGATTCAATATCAAGCAAGAAATTTAATCATTAATATGGATAGAAACTCAAATTATACTTCTAACTTACAAACACATCAAGATTTATGTCAATCAAATGAAATGGTAATGAATCAAATTTTTAATTTAATTGATTCATCATCAGATAGCAATGAATTAAATCATCATACAGAACAAACTGAACAACATCAAAATTCATCACATATCAATGAACATAATGTAAATATTTATGAAATAAATCTAGCCTATGAAAACATAATGTATTAATTTTAGACTTTACAATTTCATATAAATTCATGTCAAATTCTTCAAACTCAATTAGAAAATACATCTGTTTCAACAGATGGTACACTCATTTGGTATGTTGTTGAAATATTACAAAAAATTGACGATGCTATTAGTGGAAAGCAACCATTTATTGATTCAGATCAATTTCAAACATCAATGAATGGTCAACGATTATGGGCTCGTATTTATCTCAATGGAAAATCTGATCGAAAATTTATATCATTTCATATACATCTGAATTTTCCAGTGTATAATACTTTTAGTGGTTATATTGAATTTATTTTGGTTGATCAAAGCACTAATATTCCATTAGAACACATTATAAAACGGTGCCCTGTAGAAATGAATAATGTGAATGATTGTATTGGATTCGATGATTTTATTGATAAAAATCTACTTCATAAAAAGTCAAATCCATATATACTTAATCATTCAGTTTATTTCATTGTCCGTATTGAACAAACTGATCAACAAAAATTTATTCATCTTCCATTAAATGTTCAAGATGCTTTAGCTCGAAGTTCTTTAGCACATTAAAATTATTCATGAATTTTATTAAGTTTATATATGTTTTTTTTATTAATATCTTACTATTTTATTCATATCTAATGTGAATCAAATATTTTTATTCTTCATAATTGTCTAATATTGTGTATAAACGAATCGAGATTAGAGGTAATACTCTTACTTTTAAGAATCAACAAATATAGTTACGAAATTAGATTGAAATCATCCTTTAAAAAATGTTTTATTGTAATTACTAATCTATAAGATAAATACATCGTAGTATTTCATTTCATAAAAAAAAAAAGTAAAAATGTAACCTCTAATCTCGATATAAAATGACAATATTCAATTATTACAATTTTTATTTATATTCACGCTTTCTTTTTTACTAATTAATGTATTCTCTCATATTAAATATAAATACTAACACAACATTTAATATAAAATATATTATGTAATATATACATCTAGTGAAAAGAAATATTCCTTATGATAATTATTTGTTATTTGTAATATTAACGTTTTATAGTTGTAGAAGGTAAACCAAATCGTGGTTGTGAGTATGTAGGTATCACTTGATGTTGTTTTCCAATACGCATAAGTATTTCTGTAACTTGAGGAGTGACATAAACAAGCATAAAACTAAGAGCAAGCATAGCAGTGACTATAGTCATATTGGAAATGCGATAAAACAATGGTTTTCCTACATCAGTAAAAGGTAACATTAGTTCCAATACTACAGAAGGAGCACCCATTAGTATTAATATAATAACAACTAATACAATACGATGTATTACGATTACATCACGTTTAGTTCGTGCTGAAGTAGGTAGAGGTGATCGACGCATAAATCGTGCTAACTGAAAATAAATAGTATTGATGATATTCATTGGTAGACCATAAATAAATATAGTAGACCAAATAAATCCACGAGCACTATGTATAGCTAGTACGCAAATACTTTCCGTAGACATAAGTTGTATATCATGCCAAGCATGAACCGGTAAAAGAAAAAGAAACGAGATAAGCCATAAAATTGGAATAATCACAGCATACGTAAGACTATATTGTAGCCATATAGAAGAAGAATACACCACACGAAAGAAACGAAAAGCAGCCTAGAAATTAATATATGGATTTAATTATAAAATTCTGAATTCTTCTATATAAATATGTTTGTGAAATGAATAATTTATTGAACTTTCTTAAATTAGAAAGTAATCATATTTGTCGGTTAGCTACAGTTCACCGATAATTGTTTTCAAATAAAATCGATCGCTTCTATTTGAAAGGAAACTTGAAGAAAGTGCATTTATTTTTTAAAGAAAACTTTTGAATTTTCATATGTTTCTTTTAAATTCTGATATGCATCAGATAATATCGACATGCTAAATTGGTTTAAAACATTAGCAGTGTATGACAATGTCTCGTAATTTAGAGGATGTAATGTGGATTTTATTTGCAACAACACGCACATGCACATCCACTCTTACTGGTCATTGTAAGCGATTAATCACTGATTTATTGCTTTATTGTGGATTACTGCTAAAACTAATCTAGTATTTGCAACATGAATTACTTTCTTTTAATCTAACTAGGTAATCAAGATTTTGTACTTTAATGAAAGAAAATTTTATCATGAGAAAGATGAAATCATATTATGACAGATAATGCTTCATTATATATTCATCTTGAATTTATCTGTGGACTGTCGATGTGCATGATTATAATCATTCATGATGAGAAATAGCAATGAAAAATCTATCGATTACTCAATATTTTGCTTAGAATAAATAAAATTGTAGATCGTGGCTAAAGTATAAGAAGACAAAATCAGAAAGAACCGAAATATTGTCTTCTGATAATAATATTAACCTCTGTTATTATGGTCGCAGCTGCTTCATCTTTATTGATTGTAGATTGATTTTAAAATTGAATAAAGAAAAAAAAAAACAATAATGACGAAGTAGTGGCAATGCACACTTAATAGATGTTTAGTGAAAGTTCATACAAATTTGAACGATTAATCGATTAAAATGACTGATGATTATAGACAATCTGCAGATAAAGCAAAAGTTGAAGTACGTAAAATTTGTGAAAAAATTTCCTTTTGACTCGTATACAATGCCTATTTGCTACTTCGGAAAATAAAAAGCTGTTAGTGAGATCTTTGCAGAATGAAAATCTGTAACACGATATAGCTACTCTTGTTAATCATAGAAAGATCGTTGTGTTCCATCTATTTTGACATAAATCTTTTTTGGCATGCTTTTAGTTAATCCTTCTAAAATTGAATAACAAAGTAGTTGATATATTTTAACTAGATGATGGTCTTCGATTATATATCAACAACGTTTGTTACGATTTGGGATGGATATTAGGCATGTCGCTAAGGTTTTTGGCGTGATCTGTGTAGGAGAAGATGGGATAGCAGGGAGTGGATACAAATTTCTATCCTATATACTTCAACACTACTTTTTGATTCGTGTTTCGAATAAATGAAAGTGTGATATTAAAAAGTCAATATAATAGACAACAAGTGTTGTTTTCGAAACTGTATTAAAACATATAATATGATTTAAAATTTAACCTCGTTTTAAAAATAAATAAACAATTCTCTGTTTGATAGACTTTTAAAGAGAATCAAACTTTTTTTTTTATAAATCTTACCTGTAATGCAAAAGTATTAAAAATGACTGCCATGAATGAATAAATTATAAATCCTTTAATGCGGCAACTAAATGTTTCCTCAGCAGTGTACAAATTGAAATCGGCTCGAACAATATCAATATTGTTTACTATAGCTATAAGTGCAAATGCGAGTAATGCTACATAACTATTAGCTACCAAAATTAAAACTACATCACGATTGCGTATAATTGATCGCAACAATACACTAAACATGAATATGGACATAACACCAATAAATATAGTTTCAATAAGTGAAATAAAATTGAGAACTATAGCTGTTGTTGATGTCATTGTTATATTCGACATGTCTTTTTCACGAATTATAAATAATAGATCTTTCCACTATGAGTTTTATCTATTGACAAAGTAAAAAATGACATATCATTGCTCAATTAGACTACATCAATATAGACTATAGATGGAAATTATTTTTCTCACTTTATAGAAAATATTTAACATAATAAAATATTATGATCAATAGGAGTAGAAACAAATATATTTAAGGAGAAAAAAAAGAACATTAATTTATGATTCTAGGTGTTCTGATGACACATGTAATCTGTTAATAAAAGGAATTTTAATTGAATTACAGAATAGTCATATGATCGTCATCAGTACACATATTCTTTCTAGAGATCTAGTATTATATATTTGAGTCTTGAAAGGATAAAATTCATCATATAATATTAATAGATTAATTCTAAGAAGTCTTGAATATTAATAACAATACTAAACAAACTAATTTTTAAAAGTTAAAAAAACATAATTCCGTCTTTTCTCTAAGAACGATAAAAGTTTTAAAATGTTCAATATGTACAATCAATTAGATTAAAAGTTAATAAAGCTGCTTTTAGTTTGACATATAATTAATCAGATTGATTGAAAATGTTCTGTAAATTCAATATTAAAAGCTTCAAAACTATAATAACTTAGTCTATTCTCATCAAAATAGTTTATCTGTAATTTATTAGAAGGTTTTTCTTATAGTATATGATTTGATCGTTCGCCACTTTTTATATTAATATGTCATAAACCAATAATCTTGAATATGTTATTATTACAAATTTTTCAAGTACTATTATTGGAACATTTCATTGATTAACTATCCAATCAGACAAAAAAAATCTGTGTAAAAACGATCATTTATTATACTAGCTGAAATTTTTGACAGTTTATGCATTACATATTTGTAGTCATTTTCACACATACGTACTGTAAATGTTTCTGACTCACAATCGGAAAAACACAATCACCCTTTTCGTACGCTTACATGTGACTTTATTTTTTCTTTATATCAGTGCGTTTTCTGATCCGTCTTTTTTTCCCGTGAATTTTTAACTGCGTAAAGGATTCTTGTAATATTAATAATTAATACATAGGTAGATAGATAAATAGATCTATTTCTTCATTCATTAACTTTTGCATACGTATATCTAGCAATCTGCCTGCTGGACTAATTATCTATGTAGCTAACATTTTTTGAATAACTTCAAAACTACAGAAATCAATAAGATTGGATTTTCAGCGCCATGAACAATCATTCCTGCATTATCTTTTCTACATAGAAAACTTTTTTAACACATTCGACATGATTCAATTTTATTAGAGAGTAGCTCTACAAATTCATTTTCGTATACATTCATCTTTCGATAAAGGCACTCCTTCAACTTTTCATTCTTTGTTGATCTGTTATTTTTTCTTTTCTGTTTGTAACATCACATGGAGCAATGTAACCATTCTGCAGTTTGTCAAAAGTCTTGTGAGATTTTTTCTGCATGGCATACCATTCGAGAAGCTGAATCAGCAATCCATTTCAAGCACAAATTCACTGATCGCAAGCTCGAAGAAAAGGAAGGATCTACGCGTAATGTCGACAGACGCTGTACTGGCTGTTATGCGAAGGAAAGGGCACAATAGTCTAGAGGAGCGAACTGTGCGGCAGCAAAAGAAAGTAAAAATCTTCTGTTCTGACTGTGATGAACTTCTTTGTCTGGGTTGTCTTAACAAGAAGCATCATGCTATAGAATAAAGGACTCAAAAAAAAAATACTGAAGGCAGAACAGATAACACATTATGTTTAACCTCCTGCCTAAGAAACATACAAAAGAAAGTGCTTTTCTACACAGTTTCTCGTTAAAATATAGCGTGACCCACCGGTGAGCCACATCGTGGCAAATGTGTTAATTTTCTTATTGAATATATGCTGAATTTTAAAGATGAACACTAGCTTGTCTGCATAAAATATGAGCTTCCAAGAGTATTACAATAGTTAGAAAGCCTAATATCTTTTCTATCAATTAGCGCGTTTGAGATTACTAATAACGTAACTATGCAACAAAGATTAATTATCGACCGAATCATTAATTTGTATGAATATCTTATTACTAACTGTTTCACTATTCATCTAACTATGTGTGTACTAAACTCTCCGTATGATGATGTTAATTGTAGAGCGTCCCAAAATATTAAACTACCACCAAAGCAAATATGTCGAAGTGAAGAGAATAATGTTTTTCGTTCGCATATTTTTCATACGACATTATTGTTTCGAACATTATTATACTTCGACATTCTTACTTTCAATGCTTTTCTTTCATATATTATTTGGGAAAAACCTACATAGCGAGTCATGCATTAACCTATGTATCTATCGATGTAACTCTCTATTTTCCTATCTAACCATCTATCTAGTTGTTTATCAGCATAAAAAACATGCTTTAGAAAAGATGTTCTGTAAGGTCAAAAATGAGAAACAAACGAAACCAAATAAATCATACGAATTAAAAAATAAATTAAAAAGATAATGGCACTATATGAAAATTGAAAAGAAATTACGTTAACCATATAACAAAACAAGGAAACAGAGTATCAAGTTTCATGTTTCATATAGACTTTTTATTCAAGTTAACCTACGATCGAACTTGATTGAAGAAGACAGTCCTTCTTCATTTCTATAATCGTTCATCAAGAACGTTATTACAAGAGAAAACTAAGTTATTCATCTTGGCTTTTTTATGCTTGACAAACAAAGGTTTCTGAGCATCGGTCTGAAGAAAAAATTAATCAGAAATGAAGTCGACATAATGAAAAAGAGTCCATTGCACATCTAACACACGTTGTTTCTTCGCTTCAACTATATATTTTTTGTTGAGTATCCGGATAGCAACACTACATAAAAATGTGAGAATGAATAGTGTGATTGGTTAACAAAAAAAAGATCGAAAATTCTTATCAAAACCAAACCAATATCAAAAATATAATTGATTGTATTTACATATGATGATTAAAAACAGGAAGTACCTGAAATGCCAACTAATTGTTTGACACGAGTTATCATAGTCTAATGATATTATTTGCTTGAAAAAAAGATTTATTTTATGAATATATAAAGGCGTCAAGGTTCATACATTCAAATTCAATAAAATATCATTTTTTCTGTGTATATGCGTCTCTTACAAACTTTTACCTTTTTTTACTGGTGGCGCAACATTCGAAATTTCGATATCAAATGATGGTAAAAATTTCATTTCTAAACACACTCATAGTTCTATAATATTTATTGTTAAAATGCAAGTGATTCTCAGTAAAAATAGAAACAAAAATGCTATCTCCAAAAATGTATGAATAAATCTTTTTGAAAGTGTTGATACGAATATTAATAATCTCATCATGCATGGTGATAACATAGTTATAAAACATGTATGAAATTCTGAAGTGTTGACTATTTGCACACAATTGAGACAAATTGAATATGAAAACGCTTATAAAATGGGTCATGTGCTAGTGAACACAATAAAGAACAATAGAAGAATTCTTTGCGGACGTGTGTTTGAAATTCTCGTATCCTTAGATCTTGATAATACAAATGAATAATCCAATGCACTCTGTCTCAAGTAATACTCAAACAGCCCGAACGTAAAATCAAAACAATTTGAATACTTCTTTTTGATATACAACTGATGTTGGAATATAACAAAATCCATTGTGAAGTTTCATAAATTTCATCATAATTATTGATTTTCTTAACATTTCTCTTCATATATCGCTACTTTCACAACTATTACTTAATAAACTATAATAAAATCAATAACACTGGAATATTTAGTGCATAACAAAAGCAAAGAGATTTACATAGGTCTATGCAAAATTAGTGTCGGAGATACTTTATTTACTTATAGAAAGCTGAACAAGCTTTCTGTTTACACATAGTGATAATGCAATCTATGATATGTAACAGTTATACTAACGCCTATTTTGAAAAAAAAACCAGAGCGAGTGGGTAATTTTTAAATAAAACAAGATAGAGAGATGTTGTTTTTACCATTCGAAAAAGTAGATGAAGATGTATTGAATCGTATATTATAAATTTTCTAACCGTCGAAAAAAAAACAGTTTTTTGTCAAAAAGAAAACAGAATATTTTTCACAGATATCACTTAGACTTTCGATTAGAATACCTATAACTTGTGAATAATCATATTTTATTTTTCGATAAGTTAGATGTAAAGAATTAATAGAAAGAGTTAGATATTTCTTTATTTGTACACAACAATAAAATTGATTCTATATAGATGAGAAATTTTGAGATCAAATATCTATTTACAAAAAAATAAAATGTTAAAAATAAAGCTATAACTGTAGTTTTGACATTCATCGCTTACTCAAATTTTCATTTGGTATTTTTTCACTTGATTTTATATTTAGCTAAAATAAACGTAATACGATAATACTTATCAAAAGACATGTTAGTGCAATTTTTATTTATTAAATCAATTGTATTATAGTCTCAGATATTATTTTGTAGATACTGATGGCTTTAAATAATTTCAACATTACTCAAACCAATACATGTTTTTCTTTCTCTTTGTATACGATCAATGGTATTACCAGGAATTTTCATTTGTGGAAAATTTCACTATTTTTCACTTCTTGAACAATAACGTCTGGAGTATCTGCTTATTGCCATAGTTTCAAAAATCAAATAGGTAGTGACCGTCCAATGACTCATAGCTGAATACATCATTGTATATGGTCTTTCAAATATCATTCTGGCCTGTTTTTTGTTTGCATAAGAATTATACTTTTTTCAAATTTTAAAGTATATAAAGATCATCCATTAAGGAAGTTTGTTGAAGGACTGGAGGCATATCAAAACTGGACACACCTGGAAAATGCTGTTCTTGCTCAGAAGTTTTTTATGGATGACTCCTTACATAATTAATCATAAAACCAATCTGTTTTATGAGAAATTTTATTAATTGTAGAAGCATACAATTTTATATGCATTCAAATAAGATTCTTTGATTCCCATCATAATACAACAATTGTTTCAACATATGTTTTCCTCGTCTGATATGTCGTTGAAATATTCAAAAAAAAAATCGAAAATACTATTTGTGAAAAATAACTATTTATGGATTCAGATCTTTAACAAACATCGACGAATGGTCAACGATTATGAGCCTATCTTTCATTCAATGAAAAAAATGATCCTAACCTTATATCATTTCGTATTCATTTGAATTTCTCCGTCAAACCACATTTATTCATCTTATGCGAACTTGAATTTTTTTATCTTGTTCTCTTGTTGATTTCTAATATTTTGTCAAGTTTTGTGTAAGAATGAAAACGGCTATATTCAATAATCGAAATCATTATTTATATCTAAGTTCTTTTTACTGATTAATATATATTTTTTAAATAAAAACTAAATACTAGCATAATATTTAAGTAAAATATGTTGAAATAATATAATTTAATATATCATATAAATACAGTAAACATTTATTGAAAAAAAAACAAGTATTTAAATGTTATATCATCATTCAACTTTCTGGTTCATTTAAAGTCTATTGTGACTCCAAACAATATTACCACATCTATTCATCGTGATCATTATTTGTTGTTTATCGTGTTAATTTTTGATGATTGTAGTATCTACAAAAAATTTTCTTGTATATGTAGGAGTTACTTTATTTGACTTTCTTATGGCCATTAGCATTTCTTTAACTTGAGGAGTGACATAAACAAGCATAAAGCTAAGAGCGAGCATAACAATGACTATAGTCATATTTGACATACGATAAAAAAATGATTTTCCTAAATCAGTAAAAGGTAATATTAATTTCAACACGACAGAAGGAGCACCGATTAGCATTAATATAATGATAACTAATACAATGCGACGTATTACGATCACATCACGTCTAGCTCGTAATGAAACAGTCATTGATGAGTGATGCATAAATTGCGTTAGTTGTATATAAATTATAGACGTTATGACCACTGGTAGACCATAAACAATTAACGTACACCAAATAAATCCACGAGTACCATCAATAGTTAGAACACAGATACTTTCCGTAGGCATAAGTTGTATATCATGCCAAAAATGAACTGGCAAAACAGACAGAAACGAAAAGATCCATAAAATTGGAATAATCACAGCGTACGTAAGACCATATTGTAGCCATACATAAGAAGGAGAGACCACACGAAAGAAACGAAAAGCAGCCTATAAATTAATATATGTATTTTAAATTTAAAATGTTTATTATATGCAGTTATCAAATTTGTATTACTATGTAAATATGTGTATGTCATGAGTAATCTATAGTACTGTCTAAAATATTATAGTATAGCTTACTTTATCTTAATTTGTAATTAAAACAGATGAAGCTTTGTCTTTTGATGATAGAATATTTTATGATGAGAAATATGAAACAATACTATAAAAATAGATAATGAATCATCATTTATACTTTTTGAATTTCTACGTAGACTATACACGTGCATCACGTGATTCTTTATGATGAGAAATAGTGCTAAAAAGTTTATCAATTGGTCAACATTCTGCTCAATGTAAATTAAATAGTAGATCTTGGCTTCTACGATATTCGATCATATTTGTTTAACAAAGGTCAATCAAAATGTTAGTATGTTTTAGAAAGGTCTTCAAGGACAATGTTGAAACCAGAAAGTATCGAAAAAAGTAATGTGTCTAGTAAGCGCTGACTTCCATCGTGTATAATCTATTGCTTCTCTTCTCATTTGTATTGATAACTAGTAGTGACAGTAGTGAATAATATCTGATAAAGATTGATTATTCTAGTCGGAAGAATAATTACCATACAACTGAAAGTCTATCATTATTAGTGCAATTGCTTTATCTTCGACGTATGAAGGTTAATTATCATTGTCAGATATTTCGTTTGTTAATTTCTAAAAAAACGGAAGATCTTTGCTCTTATCAAATGGTTAAATTTTCAAATTGAACAAGAAAAAAACAACTTGGAAATATTGGGAATGCACACTTAATAGATGCTCCACAACATTCAACAAATCTGAATGATTTATTTATTGAAATACCTGTTAATCACGTCCTTCCTGCAGATAAAGCAAAAATTGAACTAGATGAATCTCGTGGAAAATTTTTCAAATAATTTGCGTATATTCTCTGTTACAATGTTAGTATTATCCCATAGAATAAAGAATGCCTTCAGGCGATTAGAGTCTTCTAAAATACTTTTCTATCATATGTTATTTGGGTATATTATTTTGAATTTTCGAGGATCAAAACTAATGCTATTGTACGCTTTAATGATATACACGACAGTAAATAATCTAATATGATTTAAAATTTAACTTTTTTCTAATAATAAGTGAAAAATTCTTTGCTTGAGAGACTTTTAAATCCAATCAATCTTTATTAAAAGGCTTACCTGTAACGCAAAAGTATTAAAAATGATTGTTATGAATGAATAAAGTATATATGCTTGAATACGACAACCAAATGTTTCCTCAGCAATATAAAAATTATAATCACCTCGAACTGTATCAATATTAATTGGTATGGCTGTAAGTGCAAAAGCCAATAAAGCTAAATAATTATTAGCAACCAAAATGAAAACTACATCATGTTTGCGTTTAATTGATGAAAAGAGCACACTAAGCATGAATATACATATAAGACCAATAAATATAGTTCCGATGAGTGAAATAAAATTGTAAGCTATAAATGCTGTTGATGTCATTGTTGTATTCGACATTATTTTTGGCAAATTATAACTGATAGATGTTTTATTGTAGATTTTATTTATTAACAAAAAGAAAATAATATGTCATTGTTTGAACATAATCAAAATAGATTCGCGTTTTAATAAAAAAAAGGAAATGATTAGTGATCTTGTATAAAATATATACTATAATGAAATATTAGTAACAGGAAAAGTAAAAGACATGTGTATGAGAGAAAAAAGCACATTAATTTTTCCATTCTAGATGCTAGATGAAATTTGCTAGTAAGAGGAAGCTTAATTGAATTACAAAATAGTTCTATGATCATCGTCAGTAGTCATGTTCTTTCAAGAGATAGATGAACATCGCTGAGTTTTCAGCAATATATTATTTAATACTAATGTCCGCATCAGAATCAAAAAGGACTAGGTACAATCTCAATAACTCGACATTGGGTGCATCTATCGATGTTAGATTTTCAGTAATCGAAAGAGGAGATCTCGATATGTTTTTCAAATGTGAAGCATTTTATACTGTGATCAGTCAAGAGTTTTTTTTTATTTCTCGGTTTCGGAATCCAAAGGATATGTGCACTGTCATGATGGTTTCGAGAACGGAATATCGTCTCATGCTAGTTAAAATGTCATTTCATACATAGATATCTCTATATGATACAAATTTTACTCGAGTCTTGGTGTGATATTTCGTACATTTAAGATAAAATCCGAATATTATAAATAATCTCTGGATTTCATGTTCATTATAATATAATACTATAAACAAATAATTTTATTTTTTATGTTCGTTTTTAAAAAAGCATCCACAAGACTACAGATTAAGAAAGCTACCGAAAAAATTTACTTTTTGAAATCTTTTTTGGAATTTTGAAAGTGCATAAATAGTTACTGAGAAATCCTAATTTTCACAACTTTTGGACACGCTTCTAATATTTCGACCACCTAATAATTTTTACCCGAAATATATCTGTTTATCGAAATCCATGGCTTTTTGAGCATTTTGGTTTATGAACTTTTTCCTCACAAAAATTTGACCGAACCCATTATTAAATTATTTCAATCGATAGAGTGAAAGCTGCTCTACAAAATTCTATATTTTATATACTCCATGGTGTACCTCGTAAACCGGAAGAATCCATCATAATGTGTAAAATCAACCATATTTTAATTTATTTGACATGATTTGTTTCATCTTTCTTACTTCTGTTATGCAGTTAGTTTTTGAGAGTCTAAGAAAAACTTGATATAGTTTTGTAGATCGTCAAAAAACGCATCTTTCAGTAAAAAAAAATATTGGTTATGAAGTGCTAGGAACTTCTCGAAGAAGTCTATGAGAATGTTACCCAAAACGCGTCATTTTTAGTATTTTCATGAGAATGTGTGTATAGGCGTTTTATTAAAAGATTGCTTGTCTTCAAGAAAGTCTAAGTTGTTTAATAAAAGTTCTAGAAAATCATTCAAAACACGATCAAAGCTTCATGTTTTCGTTTTCTTTTTTCCTACTAATAAGATTAAAAACAAAATGAACAAATACTTGGTTGAAGATTCCTCGTAACGTGTCTTTCCTCAGTTAGAACTCAGGAATATTTGTTGAACTGAAGATTTTACTGATGGTATGGTATGGAACTGTGATTCTGGATAGAGTAAATATATCTGACACCTTTTCTGTAAAAAAGAAACGTAAGTTTTGTAATTACAATGTCAATATTCAGATAATAATTTATTATGCAATGATTTTATAGAAGCTTTCGCCAATTAATATACATTCTTCTGGATGTTGAAGGTGACTAACTCTTTTTATCTATCAATCCTAAGGCAATATTGGTCACATAAAGACATCCCTAAAAGAATATACTCGAGATATGATTCGATGATTTTTTTTGGACTGCTTTGTATAATAGCTAATATGATATTGTGAATCAGCTTCCAAAGCTCAGTAGACTTACGTATGTTTCAAAGATTTTCATAATCTTCTTTCTTGGTGGAAAAATTCTTCCCTACTTCTCCTAATGGTGGAATCAAAAAAACCCGAACCTAAAAATGATGCATTTTGAGTAAAATTGTCATGAACTTTTCGAGAAGTTGCTAGTATTTCATAATCAATATTTTTGTATTAGAAGATGTGTTTTTTGACGCTCTACAAAACTATATCAAGTTTACGTTAGGATTTCGAAAATTAACTTCATAACAAAAGCAAGAACGGTAAAACTAATCATGCAACATAAATTAGAAAATGATTGATTTCAGTCATTATGATGAATTTTCACGGTTTACGAGGTATGCAATGGAGTATATAAAATATAGAATTTTTTAGAGCAGCTTTTGCTTCGTCGATTGGAATAATTTGATAATGAGTTTGGTCAAATTTTTATGAGAAAAAGTTCATAAACAAAAAATGTTCGAAAAACTATAGATTTTAACAAACAGATATGTTGAATGAAAATTATTATATGATCGAAGTATTAGAAGACATTGTCCAAAAGTTGTCAAAGTTTAGGTTTCTGAGCAACTATTTATGCTCTTTCAAACTCATTTCAAAAAGTAAAACTTTTCAGCAACCAACCCTTACTGTATTGTGTAGTGATTTCATAGGTCTCTGTTTAATTGCTAACACTACAGATATTTGTATGACCGTAGAAATGTCTGTTCCATTTTTTTTTTGTGTACTGAACAATAGTATATGCTTATTTATAAATATGATTGCAAATACGTGACAGACAAATAGAAAATATGTTATACTTTGTTAAGTTTATCATATAAATGTAGTATATAATAATTTTCCTTAATTCTATGCAATGTTTTTCTTTGAATTCAAAAAAGTTCATTGTATATGCTGTTCAAACTTTGTTTTTTCAATTATACATTGCTTGGAAATAATTACTAAACAACATGTTGCCTCTTCCATGCCAAATGATCTTTCAAGATTCATACTAGCTTATTTTTGCTTGTATATAAGTTACTTTCTTTATATTTTCAAGAATATAGAGATAATCTATCAAGGATGTATATGTTAAAAGGGAGAGGGATCAAAATTGGACAAATCTAAATAGAGGGAAGTTGAAACAGATATTTCTGGACGTTCAAATGCTGACTTTGAATATTTCATTTTTTTTGTTACAGAAGTTTCCGTAAAACTATGACGCGTAATTTGTTTTCAAGACCGTTTTGAAATAGAAAATGAATCGACTGAATATGAATATGGTGTTGAAATAATTGAAGATTACAGTACATGAGCACCTGCTTATGTTCTTAAATAGTAAGATGAATGTTGCTGGATTTTCGAATATCATTTGTCTTGAACTTCTTTTTTGTTTTTATTACTTTTTGCTCATTAAAATAGATTATATTTAAAAACAACAATTTTTTGTGATACGTTAAATTTTTGTTTGTTGTTTAGGAAATCTGTATTTATGTATTTCTATCTTAAACATATTTATTTATTAAATTGCTCTTTAAAAAAAAAGAAGATGGTATATTAAAATAAGCAGGGTATTTCTAAAAGAATGTTTTTTTTTTTTTTGATATTAAACGTTGAGAAGATAGAGAAACTTGAAAACACTACTTTTATCTAGATAACGTTTATGAATGAACCTCAACTTAAACATTCATAAGATAAATCTGTTCTATAAAAAATATTTATCACTTTTAGAATATATAATCGTATATTTCAATTAAATACAATGTCTGTTTCAAGAAAAAGTTTTTCTCGTGTGGTATGTTGCTGAAAAATCAAAAAAAATCGGATGTACTATTAGTAGAAAAGAAAAACATTTATTGATTCACGTCCGTTCTAAACATAAATGGATGGTCGTTAATTATGAGCTCGTCTTTATCTTAATGAAGAAACGGATCCTAAGATTAAATCATTTGATGTTCATCAGAATATTTGTCTATGATACTTCTAATGATCATAGTAAGTTTAGCTGATCAAAGGCTGCTCTGTAGAAATGATTTATATTAATCGTTATTAAGATTGCTCGGTCCATTAACATGATTGAGGAGTTCATAAATCAATATCCATTTTATTAACTTTTTATTGTTATATCGTTTTTACTAATTGATATTTGATATCAAGCTGAACTTTTTTTTTCCTGATATTTGTCGACTTTTGAGTAGGAATGAATCGAGATTAGAGATGACAATTTCTTCTCTTTTAAGAATCAACCAATATATTTACAGAATTAGGTTCGAATTATCCTTCATATAGTTTAGTTGTGTTATTTATCCAAAAAA